TTTGCCGTGTTTTTCTGAACAACTCTTACAAGTGAAGTTTGTCAGTGTCCACTTGAACGACACGCTAAATATATCTTCATTCTGATGAAAGTTAAAGAAATTCGGCCTGTGAGAATGTGAGGACGCGTTCCCATTTTAACTGACCAGCCATAGTAACGAATTCCCAAGGGTTATAATTACCAACATAACTAGTGTATTTGGACAATCTGTAGAATAATGGTCTAATTTGCTATTAGTACTCTTCTTATGATAGACCTAATTCTAAAATTGTAGTTTTGTAGTGATGCGACTACCTAATCTATGGGATCCCACGTGGCAGTCCCATCATTGTCTACCCTGACTCGTCGTATCGTAAGAACGAGTAGTATAGCGTCTAGTGCTTTTGATAGAATAATGTATTTCATGTGATTAAAAGCAAATCGTACAAAATGACCATGTCTGATAGGCAGAGTCACACCATCCGATGGAATCATGTGAATGAATGTTTCTACGTTCACCATTGTTGGATCTCTCTTCGCCTTAAGTGTTGAATATCTATTTTCACAGTTATCTCATGTTCAACTTTGAGGATTGTAGTTAGGAGGAATACCACTGAAGTGCTCCTTCAACTTATCCCTTAATTTATAAGATCACGAATACCAATGATTTCACAAGGGTATTACTTCGTTAACGCAGTTATCGAGCTATGAAATCTTATCGAATAGCAAAACACGGAAAGTCTACACATTATTTTTCGTAATAAAAATTATGGTTACTATCAAATGTCACTTTTCTTGTTCCATTTCAATCACTACTAAGTTTAATCGGGAGAATGGCAACAACAGAAATGCACAATGAACTGACAAACCAAATTCAGATATAATTGAACAAAAGTAAGAAGGTCTAACCCCTAAAGTTCATCAAGAGCCCCAGTTACAGCCACAGTCACAATTCCATAAACCTATTAAAGTCCATTTATTTATACGCAAACCCTTACCGTACTGAAAGTGGCATATGAGGGCAGCGTTTTGGCTTAGATAATATATCAAACTTGTTTTTCTGAAATGAAAACACCAAGTCACTAAACTACCCAGTTATACTGTACTTCACATTGAGATAGTGTTATTTTCAGCTCGCCCCAGTGTAACTTAACATCAGCGGTTCGATAAATGCCGAATTCTATTCCTTTATATGTTTTATAAAAACCAAGAGTGCATTTAGCGATCAATCGCTAGGTATCAAGAAAACACTAATCGTAGACACATATAAACCAGATAGCTGGATTAAAATTCACGGAACAAGCTAATACACCAAATTTATCGCATCTATGGTTTTAGATAAGAATTCTCTCAAACCTCCTGAACCAGGATGAGATGAAGTGGTCAATAATTTCAGAGAAGAATTTTGCGATGAACAACTAGGGTTAATTTTAGATCGATGATACAAAAAAGACTTATTCAAGGAGTGATACGTAGGTCAACCTCACTCAGCGCGAATTTAGTGTGAGTTACTTCTTGTCTATTCTTTGTCAGCTTTTTACTCATCTGTACACTATGTTGCCTTGCCATTAATATTATTTCACCACTCCTTATCTTACCTTATCTGTAACTAATATAAATCTCCACTTTTCCGCCTACTATGGTAAACAAATATCCTACACTATACCCTTCCTAATGCCTATACTCTGATTCGGAACCTACACTTTACTATATAGTCAAAACATTGCATCGAAGCCTTACCCACAGTCAATAATTTGTAACTGTCTGATAAGCTTGTAACATGGTACTTATAGAAATAGTGTCTTCCAACAGGATGTGAAACAGAGCATTGTGTGAGGTATGTTATGTATCCAAAGAATAAACGTAAATGAGCCTAAAATCACAAAAGGAGGGAGGGTGGAGTTACTGACCTGAAAGCACTGATGGTGAGGGCGATGATTTCAATCCACCCGTGTTTGTGGGGCAGAACATTTTGTTTGTATCAGGCTCTTCATGGATGAGAACAAGTCAATCAATCTGTGATATAGAGGTTGTTCTCCTACACTCACCATTCAGACTCATGTTTCTAATTTTTGTGCTTGATTAACTATTCTACTAAGACAACCTTTAACATGCTAACTCGGACTTTTACATGAAAACTGTGTGGCAGGCAATGGATGATGAAAAAACAGACTGTAAACTTTATGGTTGTTATTTTACTCAACACTCTACTCTCTATATGCACTCTCTGTTCTTCCTCATTCCAACCTTGACTTTCCCCCTTCATTCGTACCTACTCCACATTGATAAATATCACGACTCATTGTTCTTTATTACTGCATTCTCTCCTCTGGAGACACTAATCACACTTCATTATTGCAACATGAGCTAGTATCAAGTTAATCTAATAATTTATCATACGTTCATCTGTTCTACTAATAAATGTTGAGCATTGGTTATCGTTCATATCCGAATACCTTGCTGCTCCTCGGTTTCTTTTTCTTTTTTTCTCTCCAGAATCTTGATCTGAGGGTGAAGCTATGTAACTTCTGACATCTGGAACAAGCTCGACGAACGCGCTTTCCCAATGTCATAGTTCGAATCAGGCGCTCCACAAGCCTACTTTATAACAACTTTAAACTTAAAAAGCTGCATTACATAAATACTTAGCACGACCTAAAGCCTAATACACTTTTTGTCGAGATTGGATCTGATATGTAACATGGACGCCATGTCATTTTGGAAACTATTCTTATGAACACACATTATATCTTAACGAATGAACTGCTGTCAACTTTTATAGATTATAATTACTAAACAACCTTGCTTGAGATGCATGCTGTGAACCAGTATATGTTGTAAATTGTAGATCATGCTTGTAAAAATGGCGTGTACCTGCTATTGCAGAAATATATTATTATCATTATTATTACTTGGGTTTTATTCTTTCTAGGCCTCAGAACGACCTGTCAAAGATAAGGATAGGAGATCAGGTGACCTTTGTTAGTCCTATTGACTTAGAACACTGTTAAGATCTGAAGTTAGTTGGATTTACCAACAGAATGTTATGACGCCACTTGTTTTCACAAAGAATTTCTAAATTCACGGCTGGATACAAAATATGAAATTACAGGTGTAAGCGGTTAATCTGAGCTTTAGAACCTTTTAGAAATGTCTTTCTAAGTGATTAGTCTCTGATGGAAGAGAAAGAGGAAATATATTGACACCATATTCGTCTTTCAGTAACCCGTAAGCCAGAATTTAAACACCTCACCACAAGATGTTGCAAATAGGTTCATGGGCCTCGATCGAATTACATAAGTCAGGAAGACCTTCAATTATTTTGACCTCTCGTCTCTGAGCTCCTTCACGTATAGCCCTTGTATATCCGAAACAAAGACAAGATGCTTGGATCTCATATTCCGAAGTTTGCATCAAATAGCCTGAATGTGATATCCTTGTCACGTTCTCACAAATATGTAAAATGACTTATTAAGCGTCACTAGTTGTTGTAAGCTTTTGACACAGCCGTCTTACCGTTACTCTGAGTTCTATAGTAATTACTGATTATGACTACAGAATATCTATGATAATCAACCTTGGATAATACTACCTCATTCATCGTGTAACTATCGGACTCGTTTCTACAACTGGTTTCTGTCACTACACTCTTTCCAGAATTCTCTTTTTAACAATCGCTGGTCCACCTATGCCTTCCTGTATTCCTGTCTTATCGAACACACCGCTTATTGGTCTCCTCACTTCAATGTAACCCGCCAAAAGCTAACTTAGGCGGGGTAAACCAATTTATTATTGAATGAAAAATTACACAGCAGCCTAGTAAAATATGAAAATCATACACTAAATACATCATATTCAAATAGCCTTTGGGTTGTTATTCACCTGCGTCATTATTCCTTTGATTTAGTTGTTATTTTGATTGCTCTCCAACTTCGTTCCTGTTATCTTAAATTAAATCCTCTGCTTCCAAGTATCCCACTTCCATTTGTAGCTACATACTACGTATATCTGTCAGTACAAGTAGCACACAGTACACTCGCTCCTCCCTTAAACGACAGTCACTTTTGTTGTCGTCCAGCTCTTTGCGCCATGTTCTTCTTCATCACGACCTGTATCACACATTCCCTCCAAATGTCGATTCCACAACCTGACGGGTCATCTAAATCCAGTGTCCACCTAGCACCTGGACGTCCAACTTATTTTCTCCTTCGATAGCGACTGGTAAAATCAACGCCGCCTCTCCAGCACACTATACTAAACGTCTCCTTCCTGCACACCTCCGTTCTTAAAGAACAATGGACACATCGCCATTGTCAGAGTTAGCGCCTGGCCTCTTAGCATTGGAGGCCGAATACAATTTAGGAAGCCCTCAGCCATGTAAGAATGACCACCTACAAATGCTATTAAACTTTCATAGGGCAGGAGTGACGAGATTTCATCGCACCTCTACTTTCGTCTCTATATAGGGGAGGACTTATTCTGAGTATACAGTCATTTTTAGCACAAATCTATGTACTTACTCATGAACATTTCATTCTGTATTAGGTCTACAATAAGTGTGTTTGAAGACTTCCAGATCTGTACAGCCGAACATGTCCAAATATCTCCTATAAGTACTAAGTTTCTTGACCTCTTTTACTATTCATGATGAGGAGATGTCCAACTTACGTGGCTTTAAACAAGGTGTTAATAAAAATGTTATAAGGTTTAATACACCTTTAAGTTTAGGCCAAGTGAAGATGTCACGGATATGCATTGTTTGTCAACAATACTGTCCGAAACAAGGATCCCATAGCTAACAGAGCGAGAAGTGGAGAACGAAGGTATGTGAAAATATATATGAATAACGATCGATATATTCTACACGGAAAAGATAAAATAGGGTTAGGTTATATTAATACTGAACAAAAACCGCAGTCTCAGTTTTTGACATCCTTTTAGTTTTAGTACAGTAAAGCGAATTTCGACACCTCTCGGTCATCTGTCTGTCAAAACCGGTTATTCGTTTGTGGAGGTTCGGAAATGACGCAGAATACGACAGCTGTTGTTAGCATCTGTTTATTATGATGCATTTCCTCTTCAGATTGCTATTGTAGCTTCAGTATCGGCAGTTGTTGCTATTTCGGGTGTCGTATTGGGACTAATATTCAGGCCTAAAAAGCCGAAAAAAACTCTTGTGGATAATGATACGAAAGTTCCTTTACGAGTAGTGGATAGAAGTGTAGGTTATCCATTTCTAAGCCATATAAATTAGTTCATCACTCATGATACAATCCGCCTAAAACTAGGACTTCCCACAGCTGACCATGTTCTCGGATTGCCTGTTGGTAAAGTTTCTTGACCAATTAGTTCCCGTTCCTTCTAGGTAATCATGTATATTTCAGTGCAAAACTTGATGGAAATATGGTTGTTCGGCCTTACACCCCGATCACACTAGACAGTCAGAAAGGATATGTTGACTTCGTCATAAAAGTAAGTTTTCATATTCTAGGTCAGTCACCATACTTTTGCTGTTCCCAGTGTACGTAATTGTTTTTCTTGTTCCACATCATATCTACGCGACGGTCATCTAGTGCTGGGGAAGTTGTAGTGTAGGAGATTTTGATTTTAGTAATCTGATAAGGTCGAGCTAAATTTCACTATATTCACTAATGCCTCTATTACCGGTATATAGTTAAGGATTGTTTAAGATAATGAAACCACTCAACACTTACTACTCACCCATCACATTAGTCCTTGTCGAGCAATGTTTTTCCTACCCAGCTGAAGAGGATATTATCTAATATCCGCTTCTCCATGTTCTGATATAAAGACTTTAGCAGCAGCAACCGACACATCCGTTTCATCTTGTTATTAACACGTCAACAGCCTCGTATTACATGTCAACCATTACCTGGTATCTTTATGGTGATCTGATATTGGCCAGCTGACTTTATTTTTCGTGTCTTGATATTAAAATATGGTTCTACATCTGGATGTAATCATAGCACTGAAAAGTCACTTGACTGCTAGTGTGTGGTCACAATGTACGGCAAAATGTAAACTTAACTGTTATATGGAGGAGTAGCAATGAATTAGGAAAAATGATTGAAAAACATGACATGGGCATATCGTCAAAGCTTTTGATGGAGTTTTTCTCTCTGAGCTGAGTGGTTTGGTCGTGGAGCTTTCATCGTTCTTCCGGACGACATCGTCAGCACAAACTTCAGGTAGAAGTCGTTAAAGTGATTGGAGCTGTTGAACCTAATATTAGATTGTCCATCTAAGTTTTTAGTCTAAGAATCCGTGAACATAAATAACACAAGCTATCAATACTGTTTTCGCAAAATACTCAACATTCACTGGCCGGATACTATCAGTAACAGCGTTTTATGGGAGAGGACAAATCAGCTTCCAGCTGAAGAGGAAATTAGGAAAAGACGTTGGAAGTGGATCGGACATACATTACGGAAATCACAAAACTGCATGACGAGGCAAGCCCTAACTTGGAATCCGGAAGGCAAGCGGAAAAGAGGAAGGCCAAAGAACACATTACGCCGGGAAATAGAAGCAGATATGAGAAGTATGAATCACAACTGAAAAGGATGGCTCAGGACAGAGTTGGATGGAGAATGCTAGTAAGTGGCTTATGCTCCTCGACGAGGGGTAACAGGCGTAAGTAAGTATCATTACTGTTTTAAAGTTTATTGGTGCATCATTTCAAAAACCCGGCTCCCGATTCAAAGAGAGCTTGGATTCAGACGTTTCCTTTCTGACTGAAATCATACAGGGATTACCATGGAGATCTCGGTGGCTCTCTTCAGTTATGATAACTCACTTGTTGTTCCGACTCTCTGAGTTCCTAGTAAGCCGTGATATAGTCATCTTTTGCCATTTTATAGTTAGGTAAAAATTTGGCTTAGTTGGTTCACATACAACTCGTTCCTAAAGTGTACACACTTGTTGCAAGTTTTTCCTTTTTTTCACGGTAGTTATAAGTAGAAGTTTTAGTAGAAAGTTTTCAGTGGAAAGAGTTCAAGAACTATAAGTTTCACGGTTGTCATACATTCAGTCAATATATCGTGAGGAACAGTTAGGGACTGAAAATGATTAAATCAAGTACATACTCAGTTTACACAACGTTGTCACTATATGAGTTATCCTTCAGAGATAACTCTCTAACTGTCTTTTATTCACAGGGTGCAGACTTCGTAAGCTTGGAGTAAGACTACTCATTTGTATGTTCAACATTTTATGGACAGGACCGCTTCACAGTGCTGTCGAGTACGGCATACATCGACTAATCATCCAGTAGTTTTCTAGTTGCTATGTCTTAAGGAGAACTACCAGTGAACCAACCATTTGGTTGACCTTATTTTTAAAGTGCTGATTACTATTCGTATAACTCAACGTTATTATTGCTGTTTAGGTGTATAAAGGAAACGTTAATCCCAAATTTCCTAAAGGTGGAGTTATGTCGCAATACTTGACTAATCTCCCTATCGATGGATTTATTGATGTTCGTGGTCCATCTGGAAGATTGGAATACAAAGGGTCTGGTATGTTCTAGTGGTTTTTATAGCTCCTTTCTACTATTGCTGAAGTTGTTTTGACTCACCCTATTTATACTACTATCGAGCTAACATTTCTTCTAGCTGGAATCTCTGTCAACAATTTGCACCGTCAAACAATGTTGTGTTGAGCAATAGACCTATTATAATACATTTACTTAAAAATGTAGAGAAAGGTTTTCAGCGCATACCGATGATAGAAACTACCTTTCGACCAAAAAATCTTTACAAACCACCTGACTAAATAAAAATGGACCATGTTTCAATGGCAAACCTTTTTCCTTAGATGTAAACAAAAACATGCTTTGACAACACTATTCATTTGCGTTGATTTAGAAGTGGAGATTCTTTGACGCCATTTTATATAATTCCTGGGAATCATTAGTTAGATGCCTCAAGCATAAAAAAACGTTTCCTAGAAGTTCAGAACCACTCAATAAATTATACAGCCTATGCGTGTCACTACTATTCTCTTGTAGAGCCTAGTCACACAGCCACCTTTAAAAGTTATCATTGAGCTTAAAACTCCAAGGAATTAAATTCGAAGAGCCTTCCTAAATTCCTATATGATAGTCAATAGATAAATCATAATTCCAGAATTACGTTGGAAAGAAAATTAATCTCAAGACCATGTATTTGTGGTATTAAGACAATAATCCCTGATGCCTTGGAACAGACTCACCATTCTGAATATCTGAAGATGTTTACAAAATAGGAACGAATTGTACCCATCGATCTCGACGTTGGGTAGCCAAAGAAACTGAGATGCCGTAGTTCTTAGTGACAGACAATAAAGCATGTGGTCAAGGAACTCGAAATAACCTGATAGGTTACATAACTGACTGTGCACTTGTCAGTTAAATATATGCCTCTCGCTCGATTTTGCAACTCAGGTGTACTTATCAATGTCTCGCGGTCATATTCCATGATTCGATAGTGGCACTCGACTTCGTTAGTCATTGACAAGGCTACCAGAGTGATGCATTAACGAAGTGAAGGTATGTAAACTTCATGTTTGGGATGTAGTCTTGGGGTTAGTATAAATCATTGGTTAGATAATTCAGGTAATATGGCCCAGGATCGATGACGCTTTAAGATTATATTTTTATAATTAATTGTTAACGTTCAATATCTGTTGGGATTCTAATTCTTGTCGACTGATAACTAGTTATTTATTACCATTCCACTTTTGGTTCTCTTCATGCTAAATATAATATCTTCGTTACTGTCTAATAAATTCATATATGCTAAAGGGAATACGAATGATGAACCCTTATGTTAACTCGTTTGCTTACTGTATATTTTGCAACAGCTAAATAAAAAGTCGCATTTTATCTAGGCATTTATATATGTGGTTATTTTGAAGAAATAAGCGAATAGACACAATGTTAGGTCTACAGAATACCCTGGACCTAATTTTCGTACCACTTAACACTTCTGCAATTCTCACATGTATTTTTGAAGAGACTGGTGCTGCTTAATGGGTATGAACCCGTGCCATTCAGCTCTACACTCTGAAATGTTAGTACTAGGCAATTCGGGCAGTGATTGATTTCCTGCAGGCCTAGGGTCTTAAAATTGATTGATCACTGAATAGTGACCAGTATCACGTTCGCCCTGCCCTTTTAATGATGACTAAATCCTACCAACCAAATTAGTGCAGCTGCTAGTTTAAGTGACTTGATATCATGTGCACTACGTTGGGATGCTAGATAGTTGTAGTCGACAGGAAACCCTTGTACCCTTCTGATTCCATGCCTTTCATGGCCTTAATAACCACATATTTAGTATTTTCTATGACGATCTTCTAGAATCGATTAGATTTTATCTATAAAAGCTTTCGACCTTGCGAAAAAAGATTATCCATATTTTTCATCTGTTTTTCTTCCATCTAGGTTTATTCCATATAAAGTCGGATCTACGTAGTTCACCTAACCCTGTAAAAGTAAAACATGTCAATATGATTTGTGGTGGGTCTGGTATAACACCAATGTTCCAACTATTATCCTACATACTTCAGTCTAAAGATGATACAACGCAAATAGCAATGGTTTTTGCTAATGTGGTACGTGAATTTAAATATGTGGGGAATATAACATGAGTTGTACGCTTTCGCTGTTATCAATTACATTTTTGACAATAGCCTGTTGTAACCCAGATGAGATATTTGCCTATCAACGAAAAGGTGAAAATACTGTTCAGGAGTTTGTTGTGTATTGCTCTATGACTTTAAAACATGGTCTATGGAAGCAAGAGATGTATATAGACTGCAAGTGTTTGATCGTAAGCATCTTCAAAGCATTCCTCGCTTATAATAAAACCACCCCACATAAGTCACTTGATTTGTGTATGGGCTATAATACTGCCCGGGTGTCTAGACCGAAGCAGGTGGTTTTTTCAGGGGTCCACACCTGGAGCCTTCGACCTAAAGATCTGATCCACAAGGCAGTGGGGCAATGTTAGGTGATGCAATCCTATGGTAGCCAGTGACCAATAATTGATTCCTACTCCATTTGTTCCCTCAGGATCCTAGAGCCCATGTGCACCATTGGTTTGGAATTGTGATTTTCCAACTGCCCTAGGTGGACTTTCTGTGTCCACCAATCCGGTTAAAGCGTGGTTTGGCATCAGGGTTTCCCAACACCCCTGGGTGGATTCTCCGTACCCATCAATTGGGTTAAAACACCGAACATTCGCTTTTCGTTCTTTCAACAACACCCGCGTCACGAGAAGGTAGTGAGTATGACTTTCTTGGCAGTGGTTGTATACGCGTGGCCATATGAGAGCGTTTGGTGAGGGAAAGCTGACTCACCCTACCCTCGGTCGTACCAGGGCATTTGGGGGCGATATGTATCTTCACTTTTCAATTGATCCATATTACAAATCATACTGTTTACTGTAAAAATTTAGGGAGATATATCTCAAAACAAGTAAATAGTGAGCACAATTTTGATAGACCACTGAGCCGGTTAAGTGCTCTGACGCGAGACTGGTAGGTCATGGGTTCGAATCTCGTGGGGCGAGGTCGTGGATGCGCACTGCTGAGGAGTCCCACAATAGAACGGAACGGCCGTCCAATGCTTCCAGGTTTTCCATGGTGGTCTAGCTTCAATTGACTCACGCTTTCAACTATGAAAATACTGTAATCTCCACAAAACCCCTTCTGATAATAAAAAATCAATTCACCTGACATCATTGTTTAAAATGATGGTTTCTTTAATTACATAATTTTTTTGATAATATTTCAGACTGAAAAAGATATAATTCTACGTGATGAACTAGAAAATTTCAAAGATAAATATCCAAATCATTTTCGTCTTTGGTATACAGTAAATGAAGCACCTGAACGTAAGTTTTATATCTTTGTTCATTTATTACTTCATTCTTATTTGTAACTTACTTATTGTTGATAAGGAAAGATTGTTAGGGGATATTCTAAAAAAGACAATCAATAATACTGAGGAAAATTAAAGTCAATTGAATGCATGGTGTAATTATCATAGGTTTGGTTCAAATCATGACTCATCAGGAGGTGTAGGAAGGATTTAAATGTGACCAACTTGGTCATGTGTGATGTTACGGGTATAAGAGCTAATATCACTTCCCGACTGCCTACACCGTGGAAAGGTATTTCTTGAGGGACCTGAAAAGGAAATTGGATTAATGTTGGTCTTAACGACCTGCAAGCGTGACCGCAGAGCCAAAGGGACAACTGCTTGAAGCAGGTCACGCACGGCCTTTTTGTCGGAGGTTTTTGACGTGTTAGCTCCGTTCTTCAAACGGCCTTACCTCCGGAAACAGAAATTTGTGAGGTAAAATGAGGCGTGACATTTTTAGGGTCGACCTTTTCTACCCCCTTCCTTCCTTGTGAGAAGTCAGCATCGCTGCAGATGCTTGTTGTCCGAGGGAAACACCCTACTGCTGTCACATCCGTCTACAATCAGCAGTACGATTTTGCCCTCATGACTCATACCAAATTTTCTTTTCATTTCAATGAATACACGTAATAAATGCAAATGATTGCACAGTGAAAGGTTCCAAGGGTATATTGGTTGTGCTCAGAATGAAATATTACATAGTAAACAGATAATGGTTGTTATTTTTAAATAGCTACTTATTTGTATGTAAAAGAATAGTCATATTTTTTTAGTATGTCATATGATGTCATGTGACGAATACCACTGGATTTTGCACACACTTTTCTGATAATTGTGAGCTGGCACTAAATATAGATACAGGGTGTTATAACGTATGGGTTCGTAATATATATGAACGTGCAATTAGAGAGGAGTGGATTTATTGATCGGACGCGAATGATGATTGAAATCGTACGAGCAGTCTTGAGTGCGTATCGGCCCTGCTATCTGCCTAGCCCAGCCAGTTGAGTCCAGAACATAAATAACAGCCTCGGCAATATGAGTCATTATTTACAAACACACTGGGTTTTTATACAAACCAAAGTAATCAATAAACTGATTATAACTCAAGAATCGCATGATAATAAATCAAAGATCAAAATAAAGCTAATGGTAAGAGAGGTACGAATATGAATAGTTCAGTTACGTAATAATTGTACAATAGGAAATAGGCATATTACATTGATCCATAAATAGACCTAAAAGTTACCATTCGTAATTCACCGGGGGATATAACACAGGGTCTCTATAATCTGTCTTCAAACAAGTAATATCAAACAATGTTCATTGTGATTTCGAGTTATCTAGCAACCTACGTTGCAGCTTGATATATTGTTTAGAGACAGCATCGATGGAGATATTGGTTGTCTGAGGAAAACACTGCTGTTACACCTTAGTATGGCTTGCAGTACAACTTATCTCTCGAATTTAATTAAACCAAACTCCCTAACATAGTACTTCCCAAAGAAACGTATATTCTAGACTATATAGGCCGATTGAGTCATCACGGTATACAAGCTTGATCACCATATCAGTATAGCATCTACGGTTGGCTGCTAAGCGTAAACTCTTCACACTTATCTCTCATTACAGTACTGTAAAATGTGTATTTCATACACACATTCATGACAAGCTGATAGCGAACTAGTTCTCTATTATTTATTACTCTACTTTTACCATTAAGTAAATGAGAGCTCAATAACCTTATGGACATCCATATACTAAGATATAAACTATGGTCAAATGTTCAACTTGAAACTCAAAATACCTCATATTCTCACTGAGATATAAACCTATCTAGTAAATTTTTATGGTCGGCAACAAACATTACTGGTAAAGTTTTAGATCCACACACACACACACACGTAGGTACGTTCATCCTTCCTGTAAGATCGAATTAGTTAATTTTTTTTGTTTTTTTAAATCTAAAAATATCCATTTAACTCTATGCTGTTTTGTCATAGTTGAAATCATGAGTCAATTGAAGCTAGACCACCATGGAAAACCTGGATGCACTGGACAGCCGTTTCGTCCTATAAGGAGACTCCTCAGCAGTGTGTATCCACGATCCCGCCTCACGAGATTCGAACCCAAGACCTGCCAGTCTCGCGCCAGAGCACTTAACCGATAGACCACTGGGCTGGCATCCAACGGTGTTAATGTCTAACTTCAACCAATCCACAAAATTTGAGCGAGCATTCACCAATTGTCTTCACTGAGTTGTTATCTCACAACAGACGTGAATCTCGCGAGGCGGGATCGTAGATGCGCATTGCTGAGGAGTCCCACAATAGGACGAAACAGCCGTCTAGTGCTTCCAGGTTTTCCATGGTGGTCTAGCTTCAATTGACTCACGCTTTCAACTATGAAAATACTGTAATCTCCACAAAACCCCTTCTGTATCTTTAATTTTTTCACTATAGGTTGGGCATACAGTACTGGTTATGTGAATGAACAAATATTACAAGAACATATTTATCCAGCAAAAGATGATACAATCACATTAATTTGTGGTCCACCACCATTTATTGAATTTGCTTGTCTTCCATCACTTTCTAAATTAGATTATCCAAAAAATATGATTCATGTCTTTTGAATCTTGATTTACTTATTGTCCATCTATTTCATTGGTTTACATTGGTTCACCTTATCTATAATTTCTCATTAGTTTTCATGGTTACATAACCCTATTGCAATGGGTTTTAGTTTGCCATGGGTAAGATACTACTACTACTACTACTACTACTACTACTACTACTACTACTATTTATTTCCTTCATTCAATATATCAACTGTTAAATGTTTTAAATAAATATTTTTCCCAAAGTTTTTGTTTTGAGTTTTACCAAGTACCATAAATATATTGACGTAATCGTATGCATATCCCACAAGAGATCTGTTTCCAAGTGAGTTAGATCAATAAGAATAATTGTCTTCAATAAGAGCCCCCAAATGCCCTGGTACTGTCAAGAGTGCGGAGAGTCCGCTCTCCCTCTCGAAATGCTCTCACATGACCACGCGTATAGTCTTACTCACTGCATTCTCGTGGCGGGAGTTTTGTTTAATAAACTGAGAGGATGAGAAGTGAATGTCTGACGCTTTAACCGGGTTGGTGGATACGGAAAGTTTCCCTAGGGGAGTTGGAAAACCCTGATTCCAAATCAATCGTGCACTTGTGCTCCAGTATCCTGAAGGAACAAATGGCGTATGAATCAATCGTTGGTCACCGGCTATCATGGGACTGCATTTCCTTACGATGCTCCACTGCCTTGTGGATCAGGCCTTTAGGTTAAAGGCTCCGGATGTGGCCTCCTAAGAAAACCACCTGCTTCAGTTTGGGCACCTGGGCAGTATCACAGCCCTCACAGAAATCAAATGAGATTTGTGTGGCGCATATATATCTGGTGCCCCTTTGTACCAATATTTATGTGTTTAAATAAATAAACTTCAATAAGATTGTTTATTAATGGTCAGATGGTCGTTGAGGTTGAGGAAGTTATTTTGATCACTTACTAGTGGCAATAATGCATGAACTGAATTGATTTCAGAAGAACCATCAATCGATTAGTTGATTACATTAGCTAGTATACTAGTATGTAGTTTTTAACTGATATCATATCTCCAATGCATAATATTTAAACTTCCCGTCTAAACTGTATAGGAAATATATTCTATTCAAGTTGTTTCACTTCTTGATGATATTACTGAAAATCAATTGGTGTGACAGGATGATAATTCCATATTCTTTATTTATCCTAAAAATTGAATATTTAAAAGACGCTCTGAATGCTAGACAAAGCTCTCTGAGGAAGCTTCAAAATGTTCCGTCAGCTAGGGTCTTCAAGCTGATTGTTTCAGTGTTTGTGAAGATGACTTCCTGTCCACATTGTGAAGCAAAAGTTCTAAAGTTATTCAACCAATACGAATTAGGTCCTGAATTTCTGAAAGATGGTGACGAATATCTGATTAAGGAACTGACTAAGTCTGATAGGTTGCATTGTTCCATCACCATCGGACAAGTTGTTTGCTGTTACTCACTTTTCGTTACGCCTGTTACCATTTGTTGATCATAGGCCGTCGACCAAGATTCTCCAATCAACTCTGTCTTGAGCAATCCTTTCCAGATGCTATTCATCCTTTACATGTCTATCTTCAGTTCTCGGCGCAATGTGTTCTTCGGCCTTCCTCTTTCTCTTCATGATTCCAAGTTAGCGCTTGCCTCGTGATGCAGTTTGATGATTTCCGTAATATGTGTCCTATCCACTTCCAACGTCTTTTCCTAATTTCCTCTTCAGTTGGAAGATAGTTCGTTCTGTCCTACCGTAGGTTGTTGCTGATGGTATCCAGTCAACGGACATTGAGTGTCTTGTGCAAAATATTGTTTATAAATGCTTGTATATTTTTGATGATGGTTGTAGTAGTTCTCCAATTTTCAGCTCTGCACAATAAGACTTTCTTGACGTTCACATTAAAGATTCTGACTTTGATGTTAGTTGACAGTTGTTTTGAGTTTCATATGTTTTTCAACTGTAGGAATACTGCCCTTACTGTACTAACCCTCTCATTTGCATCTGCATCAGATCCTCCTTGTTCATCAATGATGCCCCCCAGGTATGTAAAACTTTCCAACTCTTCCAGAGTTTCTCCATCAAGTGTGATTGCGTTGGTGTTCTCCGTGTTGTACTTGAGGACCTTGCTTTCTCCCTTGTATATGTTGAGGCCTACTGCTGCAACACTAGTAGTTTTCATTTGCATTTCTTCTTGTGTATGAGACAGAAGGACGAGGTCATCTGCGAGGTCCAAATTGTCTAGTTGCATCCAAGCTGTCCATTGTATTCCGTCATGCTTCAGTTTGGGCACCTGTGCAGTATCATAGCCCTCACACAAATCGAATGAGATTTGTGCGGTGCATATGTATCTGGTGCTTCCTTGTACCAATATTTGTGTTGAAAATAAAATAAAAAAATAATTGTAATCCGTGCTTCCGCTTAAATTTGAAGGTCTTCATAACCGAGTCAACCACCAGAAGAGGAGTAGTAAGCCGCCTTGTCTGACACCCGAGTTCGCTTGGAATGTATGTTTCAGCTGTCTTCCATGCATGACTTTGCAGTGAAGTCCGTCGTGTGAACTCCTTATGATGAAGATTTTCTCAGGTACAATATATTGTTAAACAAAGTCTCATAGAGTTATCATATCCACGTTGCCAAATGCTTTCTCATAGTCAGTGAATTTGATGTATAGTGATGAGTTCTATCCAATTGATTGCTCAACTATGGTCTGTGGTGTCGCGATTCCGTTGGTACACGATCGATTTTTACAGAGTCCAGCCTGTCGATCTCGAAGTTGGACGTCTATTTAACTTTTTATTCGGTTGGACAACAGTGTTGGAAATTTTTACTGTTATTAATAGTTATGCTATACCTCTGTAATTCCCGCGATTGCTGAGTTTTCCTTTTGTTATTTTGATGAGGTATCCATCTTTTTAGTCCATGGGGACTCGTCTTTACTCCCTAACCCTTTTGAATAGAATGTGGAGCATGTTTGCAGTTACTTCTCTGTCTGAATATACTGCTTCAGCTGGTATGTTGTCTGGTCATGTTGCTTTTCTACTCTTGTCTGATGACCATGCTTATTTTTCCGACTGTTGGTGGAGTGACACCTATGATAAGGTCTTTATGTACTACCTTGATGTCCACCGGGGCTGATTTTTTCATGAGTTCTTCAAAGTCCTCTACTCACCTTTCCCACTTTTCTTAATTCTTAGTGACTGCCTAGACTTCTTTGTTCTTGACTGGTCATCAGAGTGTATTATATTTTCTTGCTAGTTTCTTCGTTGTGTCATATAGTTGTTTGATATTTCCTTTTCATGCTGCTTTTTCCACTTTCATTGCGAGGTCTTCCACGTATTTCTGCTTGTTAGTTCTAATGCTCTTTTTTACTCATTTCTGTTTGTGCCTTGGTTTCACTGTTCTTGTTTAAATGTTGTCAACTACAGTGTTCGTGCTTTCTTGAATCTTGTCCAGGATTTCAATGGAGATCCACTCCTTATGATGATGCTTCTTGCGGCCTAGAACCTTGTGACACGTTTAAGTTAGTGCTTCTTTGATCCTTTTCAAATTGTCTTCCATCGTAGTTTCTCCTTTGAGTAGATCTTGTTAGGCTTGGAACCTGTTGTTGAGAGCGGTAACCCTAGCAGGACTCCGGGTGGAGTTTTGTTTTTATATTCCATCTTTAATAGGAGCCTGCAATCTGAATGTAAACATGAACCAGTGTATAGGTTTTCACCGATTTCACCTGAAAAAATTCAGTCTATTGGTGTCGGTCATTCTTATGAGAGTTCAGTCGCGGCCCAGATAGGTCAGTGGTAATGTTTCTGACTGTGAAGCTGGTTAACACGAGGTCAAATCCACCAGGGACTACCGGTTCCCTCCGGATTACAGGTTCACCGTGATGGCGAGTGCCAACTAGGATGAAACCTAGGTCCAGGGTTTCCTGTCAGCTGCCTACAACCATCACCTTACATTTCAACATGGTGCACACAATATCAAATCATCTCGACCCGTGGCTACATTTCGATTTGATCATTAGAATTCGATCTTCATTAAGAAGGATATGACATACATAACAAAGTGCAAATGTGTTATTTAGTATCATATTTTACATGAACTGGTAGCATACCGCTGAATGCGACATAGAACCTGTCACAAATACTTATTTTTCTCAAATGGTTTCACCACACGATATGTATTTGAATAACACAAAATCAACTAAGGCAACAATTTTTGACCAATATTGATAGGGCGGCCTGTATTCACATCAAGATTTAATTAGTAATCATCACTCTTACAACCTTCTTCACAGTTTACTCTACCACTCTTTTCTCAGTAATTAATTCATTCGAAAATCCTCATGATACTCAACAGCCTCTATACTCTCTCAGTATATTGATTAGGGAAGACAATATGGTCTGTGTAACTTGATTTCATGAAAAGTAATTCCAACAAGAAGTAGTTTTGTGACAGTCATTAAATCAAAGAGATATGAACCAGTGAAAGTTCTTACATTCCATATTAGCGAATGTAAGTTAACACAATGAAAAACAAAGGAGTCTAAAGTAGGAGAATAAAATATCAGTTAGTCAGTTACAATGTAGAACTCCATACGTACGTACATCAGTTCGAGTTGCCATACCACATTAGCACACAGATGCAGTTGTCGATTCAAATTCCATAGTGGTAGAAGTAGTAAGAGTATAAGCAGTATTCAGAAAGATTAGGGTTTTAAGATGTTATTCAAGTAGTATAATCTAGTGAAATAAATTTGAAAAGAGAAAAAGATAGGGAGATGAAGAATTCAGAAGATTAGAATTTGGGAGAAGACAAAGAATGGATGCACGTCCGCCATTGCAAACGAATTTGAGCTACGTCGTTCACGGTCTTTAACCATCGGTTGTTATCATCTCGCGAATCCAAACCAGTTAGTTTACATCTACCAACATGGCTCAGTCCACTTGTCAGTGACCTCATCGAGTTGTGCCACGTTTTGGTCTGGCCATCCCTAGCTTTCTTCCGACCTAATCCTACACCATAAAACATT